TTCTACTTTTCAAAACACTGTCACAAATATCCAAGTGAGACTCTGAAAGTCTTGACTAAGACTCTCAAATGACAAGACAGGCCTGTCATCCCAGCTACTCTAGAAACAAAAGCAAAATCAAGGCCAGCCTGGGCTATGACGCAAACCCTTATCTCCAAAACAAAAAGTTCTGAATGAAGTAATTCCTATCAACCACTGAATACCTTAGCTCCTTGGGTTCATAAGCTCACGTACTCTGAGACTGTGTTGGGGCTGGAGGCAAGGGGACAAGTAATTAAGAAAGGAAGTCCTCAATTGTGACAACTTTGCCACTTAGTGAGTTGGTAAAGATGTCCCTAGGAATGCAGGAATAACAGGTGATATTGCCAGGCCTCTAGGTGCCAAGTGCAGGGTTCTGTTCACGTCATCTAGTGCCACTCAAGAGCTTCTCCACACCTATGCCTTCTAGCATCCCCTCAGGAGCAGTCTCATTTCACGCTACACCATCAGCACCATAAGGAGTCTGGAAAGGAACAACACACAATCTCGAATATAACCTTGAGTCCTTGGGAAGGATACATCAGTATGGGGTTCTAGTCTTTTTACATCGATCTTTATTTTTAACTGGGGGATTTAAAGTGACAAAGAACTTAATGAATAGACAGGAGAAAGCGAGCTGACTGACCATGGCTCATTAGTTCCTGAAATTAATGTTTCTCATGGGGACAACAGTTAGCTAAAGGACAGCACACCAGACAAACTGGAAGCCATTCCCCAAGCCCATGAGCCCAGTTCATTAATTATCTACTACCAGGGCTCCAAGTGGATGCTCCAAAGCTTTACCCCAGAGCCACCTACCTTAACTGTCCACCCTGCCATTTGAGAGCATCAACTATTATGAGGGCTCACTATGTATGCCACGCACATGCGTGACCTCATTTAACCCTCCTCATAAGTTCCTGTAAATACTATAATACTACCATCATCCATTGACTGCAAGACACGTCAGTACTTCATATAGCAAAGCACATTTCATGTGCCACTGTAAGACTTCACAAGTCTTTAGACAGGTGCTATTAGGAATGAGAAGACAATACAGATTGCACTGTCTCGGTATTGCTACACTCTACGCAGAAGAGACTGGGCACACAAAGACAGCAATTCCCAAGGTCACAGAGCTGGCTGGGCGATGCACTGAGATGGATTCCCACGAATCCTAACCACCTTTCCCCAGAGTCCTTAGGGTCCCCCCAAAACTGCACCCAGCAGAGAGGCAGGACCCAGCTGCTGACTGTTCACTACCACAGCACAGAGTTCATTAGCTGGAGCTGAGCTGACCTGCCACACGGACGCCACTCCAGATCAAGTCCCAGGAAAAGAACTGTGGTACAATGGGAAAAGCACATCTTGGGATCAGACAGTCTATGTAGAAGATCCGGCTCTGTGTCCAGTTGAGCTTGTCATCCTGGCTAAGTCATGGAACAATCCTGAGGCCCTTTCCTCCTCCGTAAAAACAGGTGATCATCTTGCCCCCAGAGGCTGCTACAGGCCAAAACTGGGCTGCCCTAGGTGGCAGAGCTAGGACTGGGAAAACCATCTTTTCAGTGACAGTCAGTTTCTGCTTTGGGATAGAATCAAAGACCCCAACATCCCCTGAGCCATCTCTCCAGTCCAAGAAAGAATTTCTTTTTTTTTTTTTTTTTTTGGTTTTACGAGACAGGGTTTCTCTGTGGCTTTGGAGCCTGTCCTGGAACTAGCTCTGTAGACCAGGCTGGTCTCGAACTCACAGAGATCCGCCTGCCTCTGCCTCCCAAGTGCTGGGATTAAAGGTGTGCGCCACCACCGCCCGTCTCCAAGAAAGAATATCTTGAGGAGAAAAACAAGAAAGGAAAAAAAAACTAGAGACACTTAGAAGATAAGGAGTATTCTTTAATGATCTTCCTAACTTATGAATAAATGAACTAACAGGAGAAAGGGAAAGAGACTCCTGACATCATATTTAAAGTTCTTGTCATACAGGTATTTCACCTGTTTCATTAGAGTTACTCCAGGATAAAATTGTCCTGTTAGTTTTATGTTATGTTATGTTATTTGTAGCTATTGTTAAGGGTGATGTTTTTCTGATTTCTTTATCAATTAATTTTTCACCTGAGGGCTACTGATTTACTTTGAGATAATCTTGTATCCTGCTACATTTATGAAGGTATTTATAATTTGTAGGAGTTCCCATGTAGAATTTTTGGGGTCAATTATGTATACTGTCATATCATCAGCAAATAAGGAAAGTTTGACTTCTTCTCTTCCGATTTGTATCACTTTGATCTTCTTTTGTTGTCTTAAATAAAACACAAACTGAGTACAAAAAAAAAAAGACACTAGTCAACAAACACAAGGGTGAATATAGTTTTATACTGCACCTGACACAGAAACTGGTCTTTGGCCAGGCAGTGGTGGCGCACACCTTTAATCACAGCACTTGGGAGGCAGAGGCAGGCGGATCTCTGTGAGTTCGAGGCCAGCCTGGTCTACAAGAGATAGTTCTGGGACAGGCCTCAAAGCTACAGAGAAACCCTGTCTCGAAAAACAAAAACAAAACAAAACAACAACAACAAAGACAAAACAAAAAAAAAGTTACCAAGTAGATACGTTTTGGACTCTAGACAATGTCTCTGTTCATAACATTCTACAGTTATTCTGTCTCAAAGTGTAATCATGCTGGGATGGGGCTCAGGTGACAGCGGGCTTCATGCACGAAGCTCTGGCTTTGATTCCCAGAACCATATATATAAACCTGGTGTGGTAGTGCAGGCTTGTGAAGGCAAAGGATCAGAAGTTCAATGTCATCCTCAGCTAGGTAACAAGTTTGAGGCCAGCCAGCCTAGGATACAGGAGCTCGACTCTCAAAACACACACATACAAACACACATACACAAACACGCATAACTCACAGCCTAACCTTTGCTGCTTTTCCTGGAAGCATCCTAAGAACATAATCTCTAATAACATACAAAAGTATGTCTAGCATATGCTTTATCTCTCAGCTCTCAAAATTCAGCCCAAACCACTCTTTTGTTTTGTTTTGTTTTGTTTGTTTGTAGTTTTTCAAGACAGGGCTTCTCTAAGTAGCTCTGGTTGTCCTGGAACTCACTCTGTAGACCAGGCTGGCCTCAAACTCACTGAAACCTGCCTGCCTCTGTCTACTGCCTACCCAGTGGGATTAAAAGTGTGTGTGTGTGTGTGTTTGCCGCGCGTGCCACCACAACCTGGCTCCAAACCATATTTTGTTTGTTTGTTTTTCGAGACAAGGTTTCTCTGTAGCTTTGTTGCCTGTCCTGGAACTAGCTCTTGTAGACCAAGCTGGCCTCGAACTCACAGAGATCCACCTGCCTCTGCCTCTCAAGTGCTGGGATTAAAGGCATGTACCACCACCTCCTGGCCTCCAAACCATTTTTTTTAACTTGTCCTTCCCCCTCATCTGTCCTTGGACTACCTGTCAGTGAACTTCATTACCGCCAGTGCTCTGGTCTGAATCGCCTGGCTCATCCCCTCTCCCGAAGACAAACAAATGTGTGGGAGCACAGTACCCCAGAGTCCTCCACTACCCCTCTCCAAGTCTTCCTGTCCACTCCCGGAGGACAACAAAACTCTGCCTCCATCCTCTCTCTCAGCCTCGAGGGTTACCTGCTTTGAAGACTCTGAAAAGGTACTGAAATCCTTTAAAGGTTGGGAAAAGCTAACAAAAACGGCAGTTTCACCAGAGCAGTACAAGATAAGCTTTCCCTGCATGTCACCTCAATATGGAAACTCAGAAACTCAAACCCAGACCCTTCTAACACCCTTCCCCAAGGGTCAAAGATCTCCTGTCCCTCCGTTCTTCCTTATTATTCGCCACAAAGTCACTGTTTCTCTTCGAGTTTAGTCTGGCTCCTAAGACGTCTGCTCTATAGCCTTTAGGGAGAATAATCAAAACATTAGAAAGACTATTCCTCTCAATTGAGCTTTGGGCAATGGGGCCAAGCCATTTAGACCTCACAGGTGAACAAGGCACCTGTGTCCTCAAGGATCCCACACTTTTCCTTCAACTCAGAAAGTACTCCTCCCTGCACAGTATCTGTGAAATCTAATGACGAAGTGCTCCTTAGTTCTAGGGAGGAAGAAAAAAAAAAAAAGAGCGAGGGTGTTTAACAGACTTTGCCCTTAAATTTGATGCCGTGTAACCATAACAACTGATGGTTTAGGTAACCATCAACCCACTGAGGGGCTAAGTTTTCCAAAAAATCGTTCTCAGTGGGGGAAAAACTCCCCTGCACTAACTCCCGCGCGGAGTCGGCGCTCCGAAGAGGCGTGTGGTGCAATGGAGCCGGCGGTTCCCGTCCCCGCTACGGTTCCCCCGGTCTCCGCCATCATCATCCCCGCGCTCCCAGCGGGGCAGTTGGCGTTAGGCCTCAGCCCAATGTCACTTGTTAACCTTCCGATCTCCCCGGGTTTCAGTGCGCCGCCGCCTCCCTTCTAGAGCACACAAATCACCCCTCGGTCCCCAGCGTCCACCAGGAGTTGCATAAAAACAAGCGAGGCGCCGACACAGCCGCTGACAGATTCGCGCAAAAGTAACCGCGCTTCTCCACTCCCAAGCTTCTCCCACGGTGGCCGAGGGGGCGGCGAGAAGCCGAGGCCCCACGCACAGAAGTGACAAGTGTTTTCCTTCAACGAGCGTGTGGACGCTGCTTCCCGGGACCTACACCGAGCCGGGGGACGCCGGACTGGAACCCACAGGCTGCACCTCCGGCCCCGGGGCTACCCCGCCCCGCCCCGCCCGGCCACCAAGCAGGGAAGGGATCTCCCAGGGCCACCCGTACCGGCGCCCGAGCCCCGGCAGCGTGGAGAGGGGCTGAGCCGAGCCCCGCTGCGCCAACGGCTGCGGGAGCCCGCGGGTGCCCCGACGCCGGGCCACCTCAGCCCAGGGCCTGCTCCGCCCGACCGACGCTCCCTGCGCCGCCCCACCTGGCCCCGGGCGCGCTCACCCTGGATCCGCTGGCTGCCTCATCCTACTGCGCCGGCGCCCGTTCTCTGCGGCCGCCTCGGCTCCGGCTCCCGCTCGGGTTCTGGCAGGGGCCGCCGTGCTGCCGCCCGCCCGCCCCCGGGCACCGGCCGCCCCGCCCCGCCGGCGGACCCGCCCCGCGGCCGCGGCCCCTACCGCCAACCACAGGGAGCAGGGGGCGGAGCCAGCCGCGCGCCAGACGTGACCAATCCAGCCGGTGCCTTGCGCCTGCGAGATGCCGCGGGGTTCGGTCGGCGATTGGTCAGGGCTGTTAAAGGAGCTGCGGTGCGGCGGACTGGAAGAGAAGGGGCAGCCCCCAGGTACAGCGAATTACCTGGCTGAGTCCCAGCGGGAGGAGCAAGAATTTCTCTCTCCCAATGAGGCTGAGGCGTTTACCCCAGTTTTTTACATTTCTTAATTTCCTCTTCCTGCAATTTAGCAACAAGTGCCTCCAACAAGGAGGGAAACCGAGGTTACAAAAATCTGGGTATTTCTGGCTTGTCAGATTCTTACGAATTGGGGTTTTAGGAGGTAATCGGACACAAATCCCCCAACCAGTCCCAGAAACTTAATTAAAAAGGCAATTTCCGCGCTCCTCCTCCTCCACACCTGACCGGAACAACCAATCCCAAACTGAGTAGTGGAATTAGCGCCTAGAACGCGTGTGACATAAATGTATCGTGTCATATTATGATCTTGGGTGTTTTGATACAGGGTCGCCTGTAGACTAGGCTGGTTTCAGACTTGATGTAGCCGAAGAAAGCTTTGAACTCTTAGTCTTCTGCCTCTGTCTCCCAGTGCTAGGACTATAAGCATACACCACCACACCTGGATAAGGTAAATTTACCTTAGAGCGGCGATGTCTGGGGGCGGGAGACGGAACGTGACTTTTAAAGATGTGTTGTTACTTAAAATGGCTTTCTTGAGACGGTGAAGGCTATTTTACACTCATCAGGTACTTACAGGGTAGAGGGAAAAGGTAGAGGACCGGCAGGACCCTTGTAGCATACTGGCAGGTTGTGACAGTACTCTCTGCTCCTCCACTTTGCCTTCTAAATGAGTGGCTCCCAAACTTCAGCGTCAGAAGATTTTAGCAGATTTCTAAATCCCACCCAAAGTCTCTAATTCGCTAGGACTGAATGGGTCTGTGACATTTAATTTTCAACACTGTTTCCCCTGGAGATTCCGATAGGGCAGACTCCGAGGGCCACACTCTTTTGAGTCTGTCATGGCTGTGAAATTGAAACTCAACGGCCAAAAGTAAAACTAGACTATTCTTTATAATCCAAATCCATAATATGTTTGAAAGACGTGCTAGTTGGTAAATCTAGAGATCACAAACTCAAACCAGTTGGTTCCCTGCTTGGGACAGCACCAGAGCTGAATTTAGAACAGATGACAGCTTGAACTCCTCTGGAGGAAAGAGCAAGGTTATGGCCCAGCACTTTAGGAAGTCAGTCTTGTTCTGTGACCAGTGAGACAATGCATAAACATTTTAATGGCAAGCACACCTTAGCCTATGCTCATCACTAGGACCAGTCATAACTCCAGAAGGAAACCCTGCCCCGCTTGGTGTTACATTCCATTGTCATTATCAAGCCCTGCTGCCTGCCGTCCTGGCCAAATTCCTTTCCGGGCCCTAACGTCCTAGACACCAGTGTGACCCAGAAGTCACTGCCCTGGTTTTGGAGGTCAGCGCTTGTGTTCTGTAGGTGGAGACTGCTCGTTCGTAGTCAAGTTTCACAGGCGGAATAGAATGGAGATAGCACGATTCCATGAAACAAAGGGGATTTATTTGATTGACTTACATGATACAGTCTGTCTTCACACAAGAGAGACTGAGAGTAGAGAGCTGCTCAGGCCCTGAGGCTGGATGAATCAATAGCCCTGTCTTTCACCAAAGGACTGGAGGATTGTTGGGGAGACACTAGTCTTCAGTCCATGTTGAAAGTCCAAAGAAGCAGGGTTCTGACGTCAGGGAAGCATCCCGGCGGCGGCAGCGGTAGCTTTCACCATCAAGAAGCGAAGACAAGCAGGCAAAAGGCACAAACTCTTTCTTCCCAGACCTCCTCAGACCTGAGCCTCTGTAGAAAGTTCCACACAATTATCCTAAGCAAGAAAATAGAAGAACTCCTAGCTGGTTCTAGATCCCATCACCTTGACAACCAAAGTTAACCATTACTCCTCTTCTTTTTGCTCTGATGAGCACTGCCTTAAACGGGCATGTCAGTATGGACAAGCCTCAATCGGGTTGAGTTCCAGGTTGCTGATATGTTTGCCTGGAATTATTGTTTACCTCCCTTAGACAGGATTTCTCTGTAGCTTTGGCGCCTTTACTGGAACTAGCTCTTGTAGACCAGGCTGGTCTCAAACTCACAGAGATCCGCCTGCCTCTGCCTCCTGAGTGCTGGGATGCCTCCCTTAGTCTTTTCTTTTTAAGATTTATTTATTCAATATGTATACAATGCCAGAAGAGCGCATCAGATCTCATTACAGATGGTTGTGAGCCACCACATGGTTGCTAGGAATTGAACTCAGGACCTTTGGAAGAGCAGACAGTGCTCTTAACCACTGAGCCATCTTTCCAGCCCCATCCTCCCTTAGTCTTAACAAAAGCAAATGAATTATTGCTGGGTGTAGCAATCACAAATGTAGCTTGGAATTCCAGCACTGGGGAGGCTGAAGCTGAATGCTTGCTCTGAGTTTGAGGCCAGTTGGAAGAAGAGAGAAGAAGGAAGAAAAGAAAAAATAAAGAGAGGGAAAAAATATTATTGTCTTGGTAGGTGAGAGTGCCAAGATTCCACCATCTTGTCCCTGCTGCAGCCTTCTGGGGTCTGACTCAGAGCTGACAACTCTCACCCCCAACACCTCGCTTATATCCCCCTCATGGGAAAATCTCTTAGAAAGTTACCAAAATCTGCCCCAGGGAACTTGAGGTCAAGATGCCCCAACTAACTGCCACTTTTTGCTTCTGCTGGCTTGCTCTGTTTCCTCCTGCAACTGCCAAGCAGGATATGTTTTTTTGTTTTCTTTTGCTTTTTTTTTTCTTCTGTTAAAAGCTCCCTGCAGAAACCACTCAGGGCTGCTTTGTGAGTCCTGTTCTCTCCAGGCAGCTGCTGGCCAACTTAATAATGATTCTTCAATTCAGTCTCTGGTTTTGCTGAGAGTTTCTTGGGGTCTTTGCCCCATGATGCCTGGAACCACATGGCAAGCATGGATATCAGTGGTGACACAGCTTGAAGCTCTTCCTAGCCACATATCCAAACTGTCACCTTGGGGGCGGGGGCGGGGGGGTGGAGAAAAAGCAGAGAAAGGGTGACTCCCACCCTCCTTGCCCATACCTAGCCTTTCACAAATACTATACTTCTCAATTCATCAGCAGGACTTCCAACTAAAAACAATAAGGTCTAGCTTGAAGACTTGGAAGAGGCCCTTTTTTAAAAGTGAAGATTCTGAGACATCGAGGTGACTCACCTGACGTAGATGCCCACTACCAAGCCCAATAACCTAAGTGCAGTCCCTGGGTCTCCCCTGGTGGAAGAAGAGAACTCACTCTCAAAGAGGGGTCCTCCGACACCGAAGCACAGACATACCCACACATACACACATGAAATAAATAAATGTAATTTAAAAAGAGGCTGAGCATGATGGCACATTCTCTGATAATATCACTCAGGAGGCAGAGGCAGGGGGAGCTTTATGAGTTTGAGGCCAGCCTGGTCTACTTAGCAAGTTCAGGAATAAGACACACACACCTCCATCTCAACTAAATAAATGAAAGAAATAGAACACTAAAGAATTTGTATGCTTTGAAAATATGAACAAACAATAGCTTAACACCAGTGCTACCTCCTAAGGGACCACTGTGTTCCAGACATCGTACCAAGCCCTTGGCACATGGGAAATCATTGAAACTGTAGAGTGACCTGGTGTGGTAGATATGATTGTCTCTGGCGTACAGGTGTGGAAACCGAAGCTCAGAGTACCAGGGGTGTGCTAAGTCAAGGACAGTTAGTTAAAGAATCAGCAAGCCCCTTCCCTAAAGATGAGACTCCTCCTAACCGTTCTGCTACAGGGCCTGCCAAAACACCCAGCGTACCATCAGAAGGCAAGAAGCAAATAGCACCAATCTGTGCCAGAAGGAAATATAATACAGCAGCACAGCTTTGGGGTGGGTTAAGTCCAGTGACCATCTGCTTGCCCTTGATTTGAACAGTTATATAATTAAAACTCTGACTATCAGATTGCTCGTCTATAAAATGGAAATAATTTTTTTTTTTGAGAGAGAGGTTTTCATGTAGCCCAGGCTGGCTTCAAATTCACTATATAGTCAAGGATAACCTTGAACTCATCCTCCTGCCTCAACCTCAAGAATACTAGGATTATAGGTGTGCGCCACCGTGCCCAATGTACGCGTTGCTGGGAACTGAACCAGGGATTTATACGTACTAAGAAAACACTCGACCAACTGAGCTAGCTTCCCCCTCCATCCCTGGAAACAACAAATTCTGTGTCTTTGGGCTTGCACAGAGATCACACTAACTAAAGACCATATGTGACCACACGGATGGCCCCAACTCATGCCGGTTCCCTTGATGGGTTTCATATATGCCACTGCATGCACACAGAGGTCAGAGGACCTCTTGTGGGAGTCAGTCTTCTCCTCCCACCACGTGGGATAACACGGATGGAGCTCAGGTTGTCGGGCTTGGCGGTGGCAAGCACCCTTCCTCACTGAGTCATCTCTCTGGCCCCGCTGATGAGCATTAAATGTTATGATAGGATAAATATGAAAGGCGTTCAGTAGAAACTATACTTCAAATTTTGGTATTTTCTCACATTGGCAGTACGGGGCATGGCACTGTCTCAATGCTGGGCAATGGCAGTGAGTGGCAGTTCCCACTCAGCCGTGTGACTGTGAGCGGAAAGGCCCAGTACTCCAAGCAGGCTAAATGCTGAAGGTCGGTAGGTTAGATGCATGTAATGCATTTCTGTTTGTTTTACTTCTTTTGTAACCTCATCATAGGTCAAGGAGTACAAAGATGTGTGTTTTGAAGTTACAAATGAAAAAAGATTTTTATGCTGATCAGGGACTGTGATG